TTTAATGCTTGAGTGATTTTAATGCTTTTTATCAAATGTACTTATTTTCTCATGGTGACAAAAAAAATTATCTACGTGAAAATTATTTTACAAAATCAATTTCTGAGTGATCTGTGTAGGGTGAGATTTGTTATGTAATTTTAAATTTAGCGGCGGCAGAATACCTAAAACAAATATTGAGTAGGTAGGTATATAGTTGTAGAGCGTACAACTAGATGGCGCTTGCATCTTTTACCGGCTACAGGTAATTTAACTCACTGTATTACCGATAATTCCTAGAAAAGGAAAGCAATAGAAGTTGGAGAAAGTGTCAACAGTTAGCGCTGTTAATGACCACGAAATCTGTTCAAGTTTCATATCTATAGTATCATTTATCTAGGATCATAAAACAGGAGGAGAGGAACTAGAGGAAGGGGCACAAAACGACAAAGGAAGAGACCGTAGCGGTCTATTATTTGTTTTGTGGCTAGAGTTAGAGGTGTGTATGTGTGTCGTTTATATTCGTGAACCAACTAATCCATTTTTTCCTACACGGTTAGAAGTCTTCCAGACAAAATTCTTCAATTTTAAAATGTAACGCTTCCTCGCCAGATGGCGTGTAGACCGGTGTTTACGTTTCCTTCTACTAGATGGCGCCTGCATCTTTAATTTTAAATAAATTAATCGATTTTTTGGAACTACCAATATATTCACTAATACAAAAAGGATCTAGTACGTAATAGATTATATTAAATAAATAATGCTTTAGAAAATTGTTAATATAGAGATATTTTATCGGTATACTAAAAGTGGTTTGAATTGTTAGAATACGGTACTTGAAAATGACATGGCTCTGTTTACAACATAGCAGCTTACTTTAGATACCTACATTTACACTTGCGCGCTTTGGTATTTAAACCTCACCATACTTACAGAGTGATTTGAAAACGCAAGTGAATATGAAATATTGGATTATATATAATATTATATTCGTTAAAACAGTAATAGAATAGAAAAAATTCTCTAAACGTATAGAATAATTAAAAAATGTACAAGACAGCTATTCAAAGCTGAGGAACAGAGTGCCGACATTTTGGTGGTCGCTGGTAGACGCCGGGGACGCGTGAAAGTGGTAACGGCGACGCCCTAATTTCTAATCAGCCAGAATCACATAGCAATCTCTAAACAAGCAATGTCGCCAAGGTAACGTGATCTTGGAGAATTCCCGTGAACTATGACCCGTAAATGTTTCTACAAATTGATAAAGTTGAATATGTAATCCTTTTTAAGAACCGAACATGAACAATTTAACGGTGAGTTGGAGTTAAATGTCATTTTTCTGTGAGTAGGTAGGGTTGATGAATATTATGTATAACACGTATGCTGCCTTCAAAATGCGTAAGTAATTCGGTAAAAAAATATATTTTAGTGCTTGTGCTGCCCAGGATCGTATGTTTGTAAACTTGGAGTTATAAATAGAAATTAGGATACACAGTTCCAATAATCATCAGTATTGTTTTTACGTCTGCTTTTAAGAATGTTTTCAAAAATGTGTAAAGAATTACTATAAATAATAAATTTAATATATAAAAATGATTACGCTACGCTCCTGGATTAATAACATTAACTTATTTTATATACTGAGTGTTTTTTTACACAAATTAATGCACGTTTATGCTATATTAGGGATTGGGTTGGAATTATTTTTCCTTTATTTCAGGCAATACCAAAATGTTTCCACGTAAAATAAGATGTAATGCATTTTAACGCGAGTTGGGTGTAATCTGTGTAAAATTGAACCGTTTTACCTTTCGCAGTTCCGAAAAGTACTAAATACCGAAATGTAACGATTCTTATGACTTAACCAGTGGCGGTCAAACGTACCAAAACCAAGGCATGGCCAAATGCTTTTCTCCAGAGTCAGATTTTGGGGTTTGGTCGTTCTATTACTGGTGTACATCGCTGGAGTTTTAATATTGTCAGCAGTCTCACTGCACGAATCCAAAAATGCCGGAATCAAGGTAGGCTTTGAATTGAGGGAAATAAATATATTCGAAACGTTTTTTATTCTTTAGACTAATTCGGAATCTAGCCACCAGCAAGTGTCGAAGTTGAAGAACTTCGAATACGGTCTTCCAGGGTTCAGACCGCCCTTACGAAGGTCCAAAATAAATTGGTGTTCTGAGCTGAAGTACGTGGACCCCCCTAGGGAAACGGTTGCTTTGGCGTCCTTCCCTGGAAGCGGCAACACTTGGTTGAGGTATTTGCTGCAGCAAGCCACTGGTATGTAGCACATGTGTGTTTTATCAAGGGTACCTATTACAAAAACTTTTTTTTTCTCAGGTTTCTTCACTGGGTCCGTCTACAAAGACTACGGGTTGCTAAAGAATGGTTTCCCGGCGGAAAGCGTCTTGAACGGTTCTGTCCTGGTGGTCAAGACCCACGAATGGGGTCCAAAAGCCAGAAGCAAGTTTTCCAAAGCTATCCTGCTCGTAAGATCTCCTGCACCCGCCATACAAGCCGAATTCAACAGACAGAGCGGCGGCCATATCGGTTTTGCTTCACCAGACAGATACAAACGGACGAAAGGCAAACGTAAGTCACTATTCCGATTAGTATCCATCGTACAGTGCTTTTTTTCTTCTTCAGACTGGCAACAGTTCGTCAGCGACAAACTGAGAGGTTGGCAACAGATGAATCTCGACTGGCTTTATAATTTCACCGGTCCAACACATGTGATTTTCTACGAGCAGTTGGTCGACAATGTGGAACACACCCTCAGGACCGTGATCAAATTTCTGGACGTGCCCATCAACGAGGAACTCTTCAACTGTGCTATGGAACGCAAGGAAGGCATTTACAGGAGGAAAAAGAGGGTGTTAAATTTCGATCCGTACACTTCTAAGATGAAGGAAAACCTGAAGAGCATCCAGGAGAAGGTCTACGAGGCTATATATAATTTCGCCGCGCCTGCTTCAAGGAGATGATGAAAAGTTTAGTTGCGGGTCGAGCGAGGTTTGTTTGTTTGTCTACGCTAATCAAGGCGATGTAAATTGCATTGATAATGACAGGATTTTTAGAAAAACGTGCCCAAAAATCCACCATTTGCCGTTTTGTACATTATACAGTATAGTACTTTGATTGAGGGTCATATTTATACGGATCTTGACCTTTGAATATATAGTTCACCTAAACTAGATCAATGTCTAAGACCATCGACATTGAGATTCACAAACTAAACATAGTGCTTCAAAAAGTAACAGTAACTAATACTTTTTATTAAAAACTTGAAATGATTTAAAATAATATATCTTATCAAATGCATATTTATTAAACAGCAAAAATAAACGCTGTTTAAACACGATTTGATTAAAAAAATAAAAAAAATCGGATCGGTATCATTATTAAAATTAAAAAAACTGACCCTCAATTAAAGCCACACCCTGTATACATGTTTACGTAAATTAACAGTGCTGTTACATTTACAAAAAATCAGTTAAATGTCATAGAATGAGGCCCATACAGAAGAAGCCTTCGAGGATAGAAGCAAAGAGGAGCAGAAGGAACTTAAGGGTTGGCAGAATTCAGGGTATGATATTTTTAAAAGATGCTGAGGTCTAGAAATGTTAACGATCGTATTAAACCGATACAAAGACCTCTTATAACTATAGATAGTCGTTAAAGGTTGCTCAATGTCTATAAGCAATGTTTATTACATATTGACTTCACTGGATGATTTTATTGGTCCTCTAGAGCCGGATATACATATTTTTGTAAATATAGTGTTGTATTTTTGTTAGGGTTTTAAAAACAAAGTTCAGTGGTGTCACCCAATCAATGAAAGCAATTTTCTGTAGAAATAATAGTAACAACTTATTAGCATCTTTAAAAATCAGGATAAGACACTATCTCTGGTTTATTACAGTTTTTTTTACGTCTAACCTATCAATACCATGAAACTACGAAATATACATATGCTGACAATAATGCCATGTTTATCTTTTACATCGACAAAGGGAAGGATTTTTTATCATTCGAAAACGATTTTTAATATTCAAAAGACGCCGATTCCGAATTACAATTTCTAAGGTCACTCCTTGCGTTGCAATATTCGACAATAATCTGACGGTCAGGGAGGGACGGGATAATAACTTCAATTGGATAAAAATCTGGTTAATTTAGCGGTGAGTAACCATTTACTAATTTTTAGCTATCATAAGGATCCATATCCCTCTCCTACATCTAGTCACTAGGATTAAGTTTATTAGTTAAGTTTTGTTGTTAAAATGTGATTTAATAATTTTGGGAGTGCAAGAAAACACCAAACTTCTTCCATACTTACCTGGCGCTAAATGTGTTGCAAGAACAAACTAAATAGAAAAATATATAGCATATCACGTGTTCTGTTAGTTTTCAATCGATGTTTATAACGAGCGTTCAAATAAAAACGTGGTCGAAGTTGGCTCTGACACATTGGACGTGGGTGTAGCCCTAGATAAATGGGGTGTAGCTTATAGCGACCAACTTAACCTCATTTCTCAACAAGCTGTATAGCAGCTGTCAGTTTCAATAACGTTAATGACTATATAACTTTATTTTAAAGAATAATCCGTGATAACAATAACAAACAATTAAAGGAGAACAAACGCAAATCTTTTTTTAACACTGTGTGGCAGGTACCGACTGATACTCCCACCATTTGTCATAAAACACGTACAGAAGTTCTTGGCGCATTTTCCATTATTTGTTGGACATTTTCTTTTAATTCTTCAGTCCGCTTTTTAGGTCGGCCGCTTCCTTCTTTTCTTGTTACACTGCCCGTTTCACGAAAAACATTAACACAACGCTGAACTGCACTTTGAAAAATTTTGTACTCAACAACGCCGGGAAATTGATTTTGAAATTCTATGAAACATTCCTCAATAGAATATTCCATATTCCATCAATCTTGCGTCCATTTCTAAAGTAGGACTCTATGATAAACACTTTTTGTTCTTGAGAAAACACCATTTTAAACGCTTTTTAGAACGAAAATATTCAAATTGATAGAGGCGATATAGCGCTTTGACAGATGACGTTTAAGTTCATTTGCTATACGCTACGCCCTACGTTCAAATTTTCAGAACCAACTTGACCACGTTTTTATTTGAACGCTCGTTATTATTGCCGTAATCTTATATACTAAAATGTGTTATGATGAATAGTCTTATGGAGCTCGCATTCGCCATTTTTTTTAACGTTATAAGCAAGATGTACACGGTGTATCTTTGAATGGGGATTACATTTATAAGGCTACATATGTGTGATTTTAAACAATGCAGTTGTCATGTCACATCAGGTGGATTGTTATTATATAGTTCACCTAAACTAGGCCAATGTCAGAGGTTATTGACACTGACATTCAGAAACTAAGCACAGTGCTTTAAAAAATAGTAATCAATATTTGTCATGAACTTGAAATGATTAAAACAAATATTTTTTAATTTTTTTTATTATATACTTACAGTTCTTTAAAAAAAGTAACAATAGGCAACACTGGACTATTTATTTGATTTCAGATTTGTATTCTGAGAAAACCGACCTCTATTTAAAGTTACACCCTGTATTATATGTGCATATGTTCCTTTGTGTACGTAACGAATTTGTGATACTTTTTTCTTGTGATTCTTATATAGTTGCTTATTAGTTCCTACATATTTATTTAACATTTATGTACAAGGTGATCGCTAAACTACAAACCTTAAAGCCACATTTTAGCGATCACCCGGTACGCGCTACAGGGTGTCTATGTTAACTGTTAGCTTTAAATGACTTTTTACAGGTATTTGAAGAAACGAAATATTCCTTGAATGTAAGATAATGTAAATAAACAATGTACGTCCTGCGAAATTGTAGAGAAAAGATTGCCAACGTTCTGTCTCATAGTTTTAGCTCAAAAATTTATTTTCTACACTCTTTGCAGGGCGTACTTTGACTGTAAGTAATAATTGCTCAAAGTCATTTGTTTGCAAAAATTCCTCATCTGTTTTTTGGATGAAGATCTGTTGTCGGTAGGTGTTATCATTGTCGTTATTATATCGATGTAAAAAATGGTGATCGTTAATTTTTAGAAATATTATGAATACGTGGCAATCATATAGGCTAGATATAGGGATATTTGTTAATATAATACGAATAAATATTTGGAATATCGTTTTTTTTTTATTTAGTTATACCTGTTATGAACACTGAGGGGTTTTTGAATTTTTTCTGAAACCGTATTTTCCCTTTTTTAAGTTCAAGTTAAGTTTTTATTACTTCTAAAACTAAGTAATTGTTTGTCAAAGTAAAGCAACTGCTGCCATGGTACGGGCAAGTTAGCAATGATAAGAACATAACCTAATCCCTTTTTTCTTTAAAACCACTAATAATATCAATTTCTTACTTCAGTTAACGACAAGTAAACAATTTAGATATATTTACAGTTTTTTTATTTTGATCTGTGGAATTTATTAGTTCATGCGCCATCTATATTACTTTCTGTCAAGTAAAAACATGACGCCAACGGTCACCTGGACAATGACCAATCTGACAGCGGAGCTTATATAAGCAATGACGAGCGCAACTTACTGACAAAATCATTGATTTTATAAGCTACTCTACCAGATTAGTAAGGTATAAATAGTCCAATCAAATTACTTTTTCAGGTGCCAAAAAATAGTTCAGTAATTGAAAATATGTACAAATTAGGAAAATTTCCGTAGAATTCAATGAACTACTTTACCCCACCTGAATTTTTGGGGTTCATTTTCAAAATGATGTCCAAAGTTCGCAGAAAACAGTTTTTTTCATTATAAAAAAAACTAAATATTTTAGAAAAAAATGTTTCAAACAAAAGTTGTGGGAATTTTTAATATGGATCGAATAAGCCCAAACCGGTTTTGATCGGGAATTAAATTAATTAGTTATTACAAAAAAAACGCTAAAAATCGCAATATTTTCAAAAATAAATATTTTTTATGAAACTTGGTGAAAGGATGGCTATTTTTTAAAATTCGTGACAAAATGTAAACTTTCGACTGGCAGTATCGACATTTTGATACGAATTGAAATCAAAAAGTTAATCAAACTTTTATGACCCCGAAAAAGAAAACTATTTTTCGATCGTTTTTTGCGGTATTTGAAATCGATTTGAGGCTCGCGCAATATTTGCACTTAATAGTGTGACTATTAAAGAAAATTTTAAGCCCAACCCCGTTCCTAAAGATGTGGCGACCTATGAATTATGGGGATTTTACAAAAACGCTTTTTTTTCGAAAAACTTAATTTTTGCAAAAACTATAAAATATTTTTCAATTTTGATAAAATCATTTTATTTTGTTCACCAAGAGCTATCCGTTCACCAAGTTTCATAAAAAAATATTTATTTTTGAAAAAGATCCTTAAAAAACCCCTAAAAATCGCAATTTTTAGGGGTTTTCTTACAATAACTAATTAATTTATTTATCGATCAAAACCGGTTTGGGCTTATTCGATCCGTATTAAAAATTGCTACAACTTTTGTTTGAAATATTTTTTTCTAAAATGTTTAATTCTTTTTGTAAATGAAAAAAAAACTGTTTTTTACGAACTTTGGACGCCATTTTGAAAATGAAACCCAAAAATTCAGGTGGGGTAAAGTAATGCATTGAATTCTTCGGAATTTTTGCTAATTTTTATATATTTTCAATTACTGAACTATTTTTTGGCAAAAAAATTAGGTATTTTCGACAATTTGATTGGACTAAAAGGCGAAATCTTCGCGTCTTCTAACAATAAGAAATATTTCCTCTTTAAAAAGAAACGAAATCGATTATTTTGGATGCGAGAGAGATCTCAAAGTACATCCGAAGTTTGGTCAGAGATGGAAACAAACGTTAGTGAAGACGTAATGAATTTTGTTTCTGATGCGTTTTCCCGATCGATCGGGCTACGGTGTATCAGTATTTTGCTGCCGCCAGGCACCGGCTCTGATTTTTTAAAAACGACAATATGGCAATAAAACTTAATTTGAACATTTTAAAGTGTTATACTTGCGGAGACCCAAATATTCAAATACCTCATATAAGCTAAACCGAAGGTCCGTGGTTCTCATCGCGATCGATCGGACTTTTTTTTTTTTTGAAAACGTTATTATCAAACTTTTATATACAGGATGTTAAAAAAATTAAAGCACGGTGTTTCAGGTGCGAAGCGAAATTTTATCTTCGTAACGAATATTTTTAGAAAATTTTCGTGACCTCGAAAAAATTTCCGGATTAAATATAAGCACTACTGATGTTATAAGCGATAATATTTTCATGGTCACCGAATATATACCACGATAAATGGTCTCAAATATCCAAAACAGTTTTTTAGGTATATTTTAGAGGGGTTTACAGTGAGAAAACAGGTAGAACTTAAAAATATTTTATTACTGACTCCTCAATAACATTTTTAAGCCAAAGGTATAATAAAAATAATGAATTTTCAACAATTCTCTTTGCTTCTCTTAACAACTGGATAAATAAATGTACCCTAAGCTACCTATAAAAAATGTTTACACAAAAAATCGTATAGTATTGTCTCTCAAAAATGCATCTTTATCATATAAATACATCAAGGTAGATATATTCTTTTTTATTACTAGAACATTTTTAATATTTCCGATATCTTTTACCATTTATGAAATAAATACACACACGTAGGGGTCGTTTCTAGACAATTTTGCATCAACATCAATCGACAATCAGGTAAAACAGATAAATATTAAAATTATTTAATCTAAGATTATCAAGTATTTGTTATTAAGAAGATATCGGTTTGATGATGATGCATAATTTAAAATAAAATGTGGATTATAAGAGGGCATGTATTGTTTTATGAGATTTACTAGGATTTTATACATATACAGGGTGGACAAATATAAGTAGTGATGAAGTTTTTATTAGAACATGATGAATGACTAGGAGCAAGCAATTGTACTATTTTTGATCAACCCTGTATATTGTCAAACTCAGAGACCCTAGGTGGTCGCCTTACATCTAAAAATAAAGGCTGTAGAAAAGTATCAATTATGCAGAATCATTGTCTGCTCAGATGCACCAACTATATTACATTTAAAGTACTAATACACTTTTCTCAAAAGACTAGAATAAAATTTCCTGTATAAATAAACGTCACACAAAATAGCCGTTGTAGACATAGAGGTTATGTATACGTTATTCGCGAAAACACCAAGCTCTCTGCTTCTCTTACTATAAAGGCCAAAAGTATAAAGAAATTCAAGGTGCCCAGCACGGCAAATTAAACTCAGGTGGCTACGGTTCGATTGAAATGGGTGAAACATTTGAATAACGAAAAGAAAAACGCACATCTTAAGCCTTCTGTGGTGTCCTTCGAGATGACTGCTGCCTTCCCCTCCTATATTTACAGCTTCTTGTACCAAAACAGATAGTGGTCACCTTCTTCAATCAATAAATCATCCACTCCTGTAAAAAAAGTCAATTACGATCGTGCGAGATATGAAAGGGACCAAGTGCTGTGCCTTGAGGCACTCCAAAATTCTTATACTTACCCACTGGTGCTACAAGTTGATTCGCTGGAGGAGCCATCGGATCGGGTATCTCCGGTAACCTGTACAGCAACCAGTAGTGGTACCCCATGGGTTCCTCTTTGTACCCGGCCAGGGTGTGGACGTAGTGACCGTTTGGCCACTCCGAGGCCTCGAAGGAGAAGCGCGGGTCCAGATCCATGGCCATCTGCATGATGTTGTAGAAGGAGGTGTTTCTTGGGGCCGTTATGCTGATGGTCGAGTTTTCGGTGATGTTGGAGCCCACCCATAGGGTGTAGGTGATGGTAACGTTGCGGATCTCGGAGTCGTTGCCGTGGCTCGAGAACGACTTCGTTAAGCCATCTATGTCGACTGAAATAAGAGGTGATCGTCAGATGTAAAATAAATGAAGACTCGGTGCGTTATAATCAATCAAATGCCATGTTTTGACATATTTTGGCAAATGACATCATTATTATACTGTCAATAACCGGGTTTTTGACAGTACTGCTAGATGCTAGTACTGACAGCTACTGAAGTTTTATAAAAGCTTAAATTTTTTTGTGGGCGCCAAAAAATCATCTATTGCTATGTAACTGAATTGAATTGTGAAAGATTATAGCAAATATTAACATACACACTAGTTTGTCTAGCGGCGAGGTATGAAAATTATAGAAAAAAAAGGTTTTCATGACAGAATTTGGAAAAACAAATTTATAATACGTGTTTCTAGGTCAAAGATAGCCTCCCATTGAAAGTGACATCCACTATACAATGAAAAATATAGTGCCATGTTAAATACCGTGGTTTTCGTAGTCGTCAAATTTTCCACAGTCCAGGTTCCTGATGGAGCCTAGGCCTCTTTCAGACAAGGCCAGGATGACCTCTGCGGTCAGGTTGGGGTCAGTGAAAGCGCCATCTGGATCTTGCCTGGATTCGATGTAGTTTTTGGCAGCTGACTTGTTCCAGTGATTGTTTATTTCGTTCATGTCTTGTAACGCCTAGAACGACCAAAGATAGATTCTTTCGAGTGAAACTATTAAGGGCGCCGTTTTATAGACAAGAAATCGCACTTTTGGTAAGACAGCGATAGCACCTGATAGATAGTAGAAAATCCACCCAGGAAGTGGCGGTCTCTACTAGCGTAATGCCAAACTAGAACAACTTCGTAATACCACATAGCAATCGACGTAAAGATTTCTTTAATCGGTAACTATATATTCTCAGGACATTGGTAAGCCTATTATCGTCCAGAGCCGCATTAGGGAAAATATGTGCAATGAACAAGAATTGTCAGATAATTTTAATAATTGCAAAGAAAAATAATATAATAACCTACAGTGTTTTAATAAAATATTGGATGTGGAAACAGAGGAATACTACTATACTTGATACTATCAAAAATTTAAACATTTATTATAGTGTTTACGAAGAAGTTGAAACCGTATAAAAACTAAAAGTCGACATCTCTTTATTGAACCCGGAAAGAGATGCCGACTTTTAGTTTTTATACGGTGTCAACTAACTTCGTAAACACTAGATATACCAAACAACTTTTTTGACAAAAACTTCAAATTCCCCAGATTCTTTATTACTGGGCATGTCGAATGCAAAATGATGATCATTTTATACCCTTAATGTTCTGTATATTTTAATTTCATTTAACAGACATATTTGTGAAATATTTGTGATTATTATCATTATGTTGGAAGTATGGAAACATTGTGGTAAAGACAGTTTTAATGATTTTAAATAACAATGCAACTGTATTCCAGACAATTAAAATGTACAGAAACATTTCATTATTTTTCTTAAAAATATATAGATAAAATATGTTATGAATAATAATTAATGTAGTATTAAACACCCTGAACCTATTAGGAAACATAAAATATGAGAAAAATAGAAATAAAAAAAAACAAAATAGTTTATCAGATCCTCTGGTAAATATTTTCATAATTTATTAATTGTAGTTCATTACTCATTTCATATTTATTTCACAATTGTACCAATACAAAGAGCACGTGTTCGTGTTTACCGGCCGGCAGACCAGTTTTTTTTTGTTGCAAATTAGTCCAAGCATTCTGCCACGGATTAATGTTAAATTTGCAGAAATTATTACCTGGCCAAGAAAAATATGACGGTATAAAAAATTCAATTTTAAATCGAGTTTCTTGTCCTTTAAACTCGATCCAAAATGGCGAACATGGTTAAACAAAATCGCAAAGTTGCAAAAAACGGTTTTTCTAAAATAAGTAAAAAATATAGCACCGATCGAAAAATTTTAAATGAGAAAGTTGTAGGTTTTAAACAGATCTATCGACTGATTTTGACGAATGTTGATGATTTTATTAATTTTAAGGATCAAAATATGACTGAAAAAGTTGCACTTTTTTTGGGTGTTTTTTTCAAATAACTATTTCAATTTTTATTTTATGAAAATTACTTTTAAAGAAAGAAACTGCTGACATTTTTTCACGAATTTAAAAAAAAATGTTTTTCTACGACTTATTATTTAAAAAAAATTTTGAAGACGCAATTAACATTTTTTACAGCGATGCGCTTGATGGAGGTTAATATTGAATATTTATATTTAAAAAAAAGGATATGTTTACTTGATTTTTAGTACCTATTAGTAATTAAGTAACAAAGTGAAGCGTGCAAGCGCTGAGTGCGTCAGCTGGACCGGCCGGTGAAGTAGGGGGAAGCGGCGCGCGCTCGCTCTGAAAACTGATGACGTGCAGTCTAAATGTCTGGCGCTTTCAAAATCTTTGATATCTCGGCTTCTGGACCACGTACAAAAATTCTTTTGTACTTAATCTGGGGTAGCTAAACACGAATATTATAGTCATTTTTGCATTAGAGGCAAAATAGTCCCGTAAATGTTTACTTTTTATTTTATGGAAACTCATTTGGCTTGCTTCTCAAGAAAAATGTAATAATAACTTGAAGTCACTCTTCAACAAGCAACAGCAATTATTACATACAAGATTCTGTATTCAGAATTATGGTTTCTAAAATTATATTGGATCTAATAACTATAAGTAAAACATACAAAAATCAATTTGTGAAAAATATCTTAAAAAAATCTTAGGGAGACACTGACTCCCCCGCTTCTGAAAAAAACTGCCAGTGTGTAGGAAATTTTAATTATCTTATCACGCTCCATTTTAGTTTAGACAGTCTGACTGATACCGAATGGCACTTGCCTAATTCTTTCTTCTCTAGTAATTTCCTGACCGATTATATTATCTGGACTATCATCAAAATATGTGTATTAAGTACTATAATTTATTTGTGTTTATAGCTCTTTTACTATTAGACTAATTATTATTAATTGTGAGAATTAAAAATTTTTAACTTACTAGTATTTAACAGTATTCGTAAGAACTCGGAATAACAGTTTTATTACGATTATTTTACATGCAAAGCTTAATATTCCCATTTAAACAAGCACTACCATCACATTATTTTATATTATCTAAAATCAGCGCAAATACAACTCAAACATATTGAAGTTAGTCCGGCTCTGGTTCGGCAAAAAATACATTAGAACGACAACTGTGACTATCGCCCTCTTTTCGATAGTATCCAAACTATAGAAATGTTGAAATACGAAGGATTTCTTCCATGAAAAGATGACGGATAATATAAAATATCAGAACATGTACCTTTCCTGTTTTGTCCAATTGATTTATAAAACTACTCAATAATTCTTATTAATTCATGTGTAAATAGTATCCTAAAAGCATTGGGTGTGGGTATGTTTATAATACCGTACGCTTTTATCTGTATGTTCAACAGTCGTGTAAAGTTCAGGAAACGTAAGATAAAAAAACATGTTTTTTTTTCTTACTTAAAATGTGTTGTCAGTTATCTCACACCCTGAAGAACACTTGCATAAGTAGTACAATGAAGAGATATCGTTTCTAACTTGCTTAGATTTTTTAAACAATTGGACAAAAAATTCATTGAAAATTGTGCATAAAAACGCCCCCCTCAAGAGTAGCTTACCTGCAAGGTTAGAGCTGTGTTGTATAAGTTGCCGAAACCGCCGTCGGTTTGTTGCTGACGTGCCAAATTGATACTCGGCCTTCGTAGAGAGTGCTGCAAGTTCCTGTGCCTGTGGTCTTTCACGATACACCTCAAGGCCAGAATCGTCATAGCCACAGTGTCTGGAACAAGTCTCTGATAAATCTCCAATATAAATGGATAAATGAAAGTACCGTGGCTAGATGTCTTACCGATATTATGGTCCTTGGCAGTATTGGCTATGTCCAAAAGCCTCCTGATCTGCTTCTTGCGTACGTGCGCTCTAGCGCTGCAGGCAGCCAATGTCGCGTAGGCGAATTCCAAGTCGTGCACAGCTTCGTGGTGCTGCAGCGTACCTATGAGGTCATGGCCGTGGAACTGACGGGGGTCGTAACAGAGGGCGTTTAGAGCCAAGCAGTACTGCGAGAGCTTTGGAGGAGTTATGGGTACCTCGTGGTGTCTGGAAAAGGCGGATCTAAAGTCATCAAATTTTGCTGTAATTGCAAGATTTCGTGGTGGTTGTCGTTGATTGAATAATTCCCGGGTTGGCCGCCATTTCGTCTCTGTAATATTCGTAATATGAATGTTCAACAGTCAACCGCAATTTTTCCAGCTACCCACAAGCCCTTTGTTCGCTTCACTAAGAAAAAGATCCAGAACGAAGTAATTGGATACCGCAAAAAATCGGTGTACACAGCAAATATAAATACCGGCCAGAGGACTTAATCTCCAGTTCGAGTTCCTGCTGAAGAAGTGAACGATATGTTCCCCTAAACGTCAAAAAGTCTGTCTCGGAAATTATTCAACCGTCATCAAATTTTACGGAGTAATTTTTTATTGTGTCTTACCTCCAAAGGAGGACAACGATCTCCACCTCCATCTGTTTGAAAGAGAGCTGCATCTCCAGGTGCGTGGGTAGCAGCGCTGCGGATTCTTCCTGCGGGGTCAACTGTAAGGCGGTAAGTACTTTCGAGGTGTCGTTTCGCCAGCCCCAATTGCTCTCTCTTTGCGTCACCAACCAGGCCAGGGCCTTCTGGATGCTGGTCTCGTACTTCTGGTTTTCCGTCGTGCTCCTCATGGCTTCCGTGGTGTCTGAAATAGAGGACAAATCGGTTTTAAGCTTAACATAATACAATTTTTGATAAAAAGAGGCAAATATTTCTTTAAAATATCAATTTTTTTTTCAAAATAAAAAGGGTTGATCAATTTATTGAAGAATTGCTGAGTACTTTTGCTCAAGACAGATTAAGATTGGAGTTTTGCTCTTGTTCATGTTAAAAATATCATTTCCATTTATTTTATTAATTTTGTTTTGTAAATGTATTGTTTATCATTATTTCTATTTTTTTTGTATATTAAAGAAACATTTGTTCTAGGATTTTGTTCAGTGCTACTATTTTACTTCATAAAAAAAATAATAAAATAGGGAATATTGCTTTCGTCCCCACTAGTAAATTTTTTTGAGTCGCCTATGGTTTGTACGATTTACTCGCGGACCTCAGACCTAGCAGCAGATTATACTGGGGGATTCACAACTTATCCAAAAAAATGTGGGCATAGATGCATCATGAAAAATAGAGTCAAAATATCGTAAAAAAATATTTGTAAAATCCTGATAGTTTCCGAGAAAAAAATTATTGAACTTGTAGTATTTACAAATTTATATCGCTGGTCTACTGTACACAATGCGCTCTCTCTCCCCATGGGCCCAGGCGAATACGGAAATTCGATTTTAGTTTTAACGTTTTTGCGATAGTGTTTACATTAGTTTTTTCAGTGTTGTAAGAGTCCACTGTACATCCAATAATTTGTTTTGGATAAGTTCTGAATCATCCGGTATATTCTGATATTTTAAATTTGCTCCCTCTTGGGTGCTGCGTTATTGACGCAGATAAATTTAATTGATGCTTTGCATTTTTGTATACATTTCAGTCAAATTCGAGCTACATAACTCTTGCTTCTATATTCGAAGTGACCTTTTCAAATGTCGAATTTAATGGTCCAAAAATGGCATAACTTGACCTTTACATAAAGACGTAATGTTACTTGACAAATTAAATTTAAATAATAACATTTAAAATATTCCTGACCTTTGTACGCATAGTTGGTAGTTGCGGTCTGCTGAAGCTCTACGTCCTGCGAATAACCAAAAGCAACCAAGGAAAAAGCGACGATTAAGGGTAGGTAAACCATGGTAGCGTTAACAGGTAACCATTAATGTTGTGTCCTGGAAAGAGAATTACATGATTATTAAAAAATATTAACAGAAGCTTCGAGATGTTTTAAAATGTATTAAAAATTAGGCAACACTTAATGCAATCAGGTGTATATCTGGCTGCCTGAAATACTTTAAATCTCACATTAAAAATTTAAATCCGTAAAGTGTGAAAGGATCCGTTGGAAGGTATATTCTTGCGAGTTCTGTGCCGTCTAAACGATTTGGAAAGTTTGCCGAGAATAAATCGACCTGCAGGGTCTTAAAAACTCTGAAGTTTCTGTCGTACGTTCTTAGAATACAGAACAATGTTCTTGTTGGGAACTTTTTTTATTAAGAGGACAAGTCAGGTTCGGAGATCGCCCGAATCGGTCGATCGTTCGTTTTCTGAGTTTCAAGAGCTAGGCAAACAGAGGTTGGTCGTGTTATTGTTGACGAAGTTTTCTTTTTATTTGACTCTGAAAGTTCAACTAGACAATGTCGAGATTTAAGTTAGCTGTAAGGTAAAGTTTGCGCAGGGTGAGATATACTCTCGGTTTACCAATTTTTTAAACTGATGGAATAAGTAAAAATGCTGCAAATATGAAAAAATCATAATAACGTAGAAATTTTCTACATCATAATCAGAAATACATTGTACAACTGAATTATTATTTTTTGGACAGACCTCTGGTCTCTGGTTGTACAGGGTTAGTCACTATAATCTGACCACTTATTCTGAGTTTATTATTGAAATTACAAAAAAGTTTTTAATACAAAAGTTAGAAAAAACAACTGAATAATGGAAATCACTAAATTAAATAATTTTTTTTTTAATATAACACTATATTAGTATATACTTAGCTTCGTCAAATTTTTCTCTTTGATTCAGGACTTTTCAACATATTTCAGTTTAAAACTATTTTTTAAAAAACAGGACGGAAATGTATGTCTGACGGATCGCAGTGGCTATGGACGAGGCACGTAGAACCAACAAATGACTTTGACAGAAGTTTATATATCATCATTTATTTCCTATAACAAATTATTTTAAGAAAGAATAATAATAATGTGAATGCAGCGCGCGCCGAGTATGCTCGTTTGCATCCCGGCAAAATCCAAAAACAGGTCAAATTTGTTTCTGAGGAGGACAACTTTTGGCTCAAAATGCATACCAAAATCTTTAACCCCCTAAGTGGGGGTGCTATCCCCTAAATTTTTTCAAATGGGAATGGGGGTCAAGTGGGGGGTCATTAAAAAAGAATTCTAATTCTCTATACATCGATTCTTACTTTTTGGAAATCGATTCATTATTTTAGAAAATATGCAGCTTTGAAAATACGAACAATATTTTTGACGAGAAATGCGAAAATCGATTTAATTTTACTTCAAAACTTACGGTATTAGTCAAGTAAATGCTGAAAATGTTGTCCGCCAACTTGCATACAATGATACAGGTTGTCTTCAAACCGTTGTCGAACATTCTGGAGCACTTGCGGTGTTACTTCGCGACATACATTAATGATTCGTCCTCGCAGATCTTCCAAGGTATCAGGTGGAGTGCTGTAAACTTTGCTTTTAATGTGCCCCCAGAGAAAGAAATCTAAAGGATTTAAGTCGGGTGACCGAGGGGGCCACTCAATTGCACCTCTTCGTCCTATCCAGCGTCCTGGAAACGTCTCATTTAGGTAATTGCGCACATTGAGCGAGTAATGTGGAGGAGCTCCGTCTTGCTGGAAAATCAGTTCGTGTTCATTGTAAGCAGGGTCGTCCTCTATGATATTTGTTAGAGCTGGGTCGATGACATTTTGTAGTAAATCCAAGTACATATCGCCTGTCAAATTTCCAGGAAGGAAAAAAGGACCTACAATGGAATTTCCAAAAATACCTGCCCATACATTCAACTTCTGGGGGTGTTGGGAGTGTGTCTCATGGAAAATCCTTGGATTGGTATCAGCCCAGTAACGACAATTATGGCGATTCACTAAACCATTCAAGAAGAACGTACACTCGTCCGAAAAACACACATTAAAGAGGAAATTATCGTTTATCGCTCGTTCAGTCATTATTTCGCAAAATTGCAAACGACGATCAAAATCGTCTTCATTTAGCTCTTGCACTAGCCGAATCTTATAAGGATGGAATTTGTATTTTTTTAATATTCGTTGGACACTTGTACGACTCACTCCTGTCGCAGTAGCCAATTGCATTGTACTCAGCGTACTATCCATTGCCACTTGCCCCAATACCGCTATTTCCGTAGGTTCATTTAGTACCGGATTTTCAACCTGCCTCTTTTTGTTATGAACGGAGCCAGTTTCGCGAAATTTGGCCACCAATTCGCGAACAATTTTTCCAGACGCATGTTTCTCAGGATGCCGTTGGTTGAACAGTTCGGCGACCCGATTTCCGCATTCATTGTTTTTGAAAAAAAGCTCAATAATTTCTACTCTTTCTGGAATTGAGTACACCATAATTAATCAATTTAAAAGACTCGGCAGTATTGGTACTCTTCAACTACAAGTCACAAGACAGTTATCTAGCAACTTCTTGTGGCCTATCTAAATACGAAACAAAAAGCGGACAATTTTTTGCTCACCAAAATCAGGCTAAAGAATTCGCAAATCAGAAAAAAAAAAGCGAATTCTTTTGAAGGAATTTACCAAGCTAATACCGTAAGTTTTGAAGTAAAATTAAATCGATTTTCGCATTTCTCGTCAAAAATATTGTTCGTATTTTCAAAGCTGCATATTTTCTAAAATAATGGATCGATTTTCAAAAAGTAAGAATCGATGTATAGAGAATTAAAAGCCCTTTCTAATGACCCCCCACTTGACCCCCATTCCCATTTAAAAAAATTTGGGGGATGGCACCCCCACTTAGGGGGTTGAAGATTTTGCTATGCTTTTTGCGCCAAAAGTTGTCCCCCTCAGAAGCAAACTTTACCTGTTTTTGGATTTTGCCGAAAAGTTCATTACTACCCTGTAATGCCTTGCGGTACGTTTTCGATGGGCTACCCTGTATATTTTTGAAAAGACAACAATTTAACGAAGCTAAGTATGCACTAATATATAGGGTGTTCCATTATTTTTTTTTTAATTTAGTGATTTCCATTATTCAATTGTTTTTTCTAATACTGATTATAAAAATTCATAAAAAGCTAAAACTTTTGTATTAAAAATTTTTTTGTAACTTCAATAATAACAATGAGTTGTCAGATTATAGTGACTAATCCCGTACAGAGTTACATCTGTTTCTATTAATAAAAAGCTTTATTTCATCATCCATTTTATATTAAAAACTATTTTATTTCTCCTCTTAGTTTTTGTTTAGAAGCTCCAAGCATTTTAAAAAACATAATTTCATATTTCAATCAAAGGAGCCTGGTAAATAAAACTGATGGTTGCTATAACAATAAATTATTATTTGTGTTTAAAGTTTAAACATTAGTTAACCTTTATTGACCAAATTAACAAATCTTAAGACTATAAAAATTTCTGCTTTAAGGTCTCCCAAATAAAAAAATTACAGGAATTTAAGTCAGCTGAACGCGGTGGCCAGTCTCCTGACTATCCATCTACCTGGGTACTGATTACTTCCCTTACATTGCGACGGTATAAAATATATGTGATTTCGTAGATTAACTGATAGATCGTCAAACAATACCTGCCGAGTATTTTGCAGGCAATGGTCAAAGTAGTCAAAATGAGGTTTTTCTCAAATATAATTTTTCAGAGGCAAGATAGAGAAAAAGTCTTCAAATGACAGTTGTAGGTATGAATCTTCGTGTGAGTTGAATGTATCACAAAGTTTAGACCTTTGTGCATATATAGCATTAATTTCAGCCCTTAATGTTTATAAACAATGGTGCTGTATTTTTTTTAATCTTTGTTTTTTTACCAGCTATTCAGTGATATGACTGTCGTGATTCTGAGACCAGTAGTTCTGGAGTTACTTCTATTTATTTATAAAAAAATACCCCTTTTTTGCATTGAAAAAAATGCAGCAAAATTGAAAAAATCGATTTTTTTTAACATACCATAATTTTCAGATTTTTAACTTTAATTTCCCGGCGTTTAAATTGGTTTTTATGCACTCACTGACCTAGTCCAATCGTTTAAAAAAATCGTGTGATAAACAAATGCAATCATTCATAAACTATTGGACCGATCGGTCCCAATTTGTGGTCACATATAAAGGGTTATAATACCCTCATTTTTAGTAGATTAAAATTCGCCTATGACCATTATTGCAAAAGCAATCAACAATTAAAAAACACTGCAAAAAGCATGATTTTTGCAATTATCTCGATAAATAATGCACCGATTTTAATGCATAAAAAATGAAATTGTAGATTTCATTTGAAGACTTTCTCTCTGTCTTGCCTCTGAAAAATTATATTTGAAAAAAACCTTATTTTGACTACTTTGACCATTGTTTATTCGGAGTGGGGGCAAAATTGACTGTACTAATTTATGTATTTTTCATTAACTATCCCCCCCCACCCTACAAGATCCCGTCGTCAGATTGCTGCCATCAATTTTTTCACGTTTTTCCGTAGAATGACTGGACTAAGATGACCTCGAGAATGTATTCCGACAGAATTGACGCCGCAAAGCGTACAGCCCAATCAATCGACGATTCCCAACACTTCCACGCGGTATACTTCCCAGACCAGAGCAATAAAACACTTAAATACTTCTAGTCCATTATAGCCAGTGCTAAACGTTTTCAAATGCCGGAACCCCTGCACCCTGTCACCCCGTTTCATCAATCAATACGTGGCCCTGTTTGGAAAATGTACCTTTTGTCGAAAATAAGATTAATAGTATCGGGTGTACGACGTACTATACGACACAGGCAATCAACAAGTAACTTCCAGCAAGCTACCGATAATTAATTATCTCTTTGTTGCAGGGCAGTGGCCTCCTGAGCACTCAATTAGTTTGCAGTCGTTACGTTGTACGTTAATTTTGCGCCAAGTACAGGGTGATTCTTACGTGCGTGCGCCAGTGGCAGACCGTGACTTTTCT